TTTAATTATTTTTTTTAAAATTTTCCATCTTTTTAGAATATTCTAAATTTTGATTTAAAAAACCTTGTTTCTCTTTGTCGCAACAAAGTGTAGTAAATAACAGATAATTTTTTTGTATTTACACACATTAATTTGGAAAATCTTGCAAAAATAAAAATAATTGTCAGATGTTAATGAAACTTTCAGAAACTATTCACAGATGATCGAAATTATTATAAATATGTTGTTTTTTTTATTAAAGTCATGGCAGAAATATTTTTTTTAATATTTATTAACACCCCATAACTAATTTTATGAAAACTCTAGAAATTCGAGACCATCGGTTTTAGTGATTACAATAGTTAAAAGCACAAGGCTTTGAAGAATGCAAATCATGTTTTTTTTTTGGGGGGGGGGTGGCCAACGTACCTGAAAATCAGTTGTGAATTGTAACATACAAAACTCAATAAAACAAATATATTATTTAGTTTCAAATGCTTTTATTTGTTTTAATTTGTTTTTATGAATATGGACAATATTTTCTGAAAGCAAAAAATTTTTTCAATGAAAATTGAATTTTTTAATACAATTATTTCTTATTTCTTTCATTTTAAAAAAGATTTTTAAAAAATGTTTAAATTGAATTTTAAAAATATTTTAACATTAGTTAAATGCAACATCAACCTTTCAAAATGTCCGTGTGAGATTGTCATTGTCTAGCGCTTTGAAAATTGTATAATTTGGACCAATCAGATTAGCCATGGTAATTAAGAAATGTAATTTTTGTGTTTATAGTCGGACAGTAATTATCAAGTACGGAAGACCAACCAGAATAAAATTTAGTTGCATTATTTGAGTTCAGCATTGTTCTTCGCTGTTAAGCCCTTTACTTTTGCGAAACACGTATGGAGAAGTTAATTTGAGTTTTCAATTTCAACTGAGAAGTAACAGTATCATCTTATGAAATTTAACTACTGCTAAACTTTAATTTATATGATCTTATTTTTATATTAATCTCAGTTATGACATTTTTCCATAAATGAAATATCAAAATTAATAATAAAATGAATGGAAATACAAATAACACAGTAAAATGTAATAAATGTACATAAAATTATAGTATTTTATGTACACTTCTGATAAAATTTCATAAGAAAGGTACCAAAATTAATTAGATACCTTTTTCTTATGAAATTTAATCTCACTATTAACAGTCTTACTTTTAATTTCTTTATATTTCCCATAAAGCATCGTAAACGTAAAAATGAAAGCTAAGTACAAAAAATAAAAATAAAAAATAAAAAATTAGAGCGCTGAAAGTTTTCCTTAAAAGTAACGAGGTAAATAATTTGTTCACTTAAATAATTTCACTTCCTTCCATCCGTAGAAAGAATTACCCTCCCGTAAGTTATCTAAACGTCATGAATGTGCCTTTCGTCAATCGTCAAGCGACGCGAAAGGTTATGACCTGCTTTGTATTATTTTCAAATTACATTTTTTCGGCGCAGAAGCTAAGTTAAGCTTGGTTCAAAATATTTTAAATAAATAGTATAATATCTGTTTTTATTAAAATCAGTTTTGAAAAAATGATAATGGATTTTTAAAAGAATATCAAAGTCAGATTTTAATCTTTTTTATCAAATCGAAAAAAATGATTATCTGTCCTTTTTTTTACCCAAAAAAAAAATATTTTTAACGAAAATTTCAGACGTGCTAGGAACGATTAAAAATGTAAAAAAAAAATACCCCAAAAAATACTTTGATCTTTCCTCTTTAATAATAATATGAACATTAGACGATAAAATTTTGTTTTCGTCAAGTTCGGCTTTTTTTTCATCATGCTATGCTCTTTTGTTTACATTTTCGTGGGTGAGTTGTCCCCTTTCATTCTCACGATGTGTCTTCTTAATCGTGTTTTCAAATTGATTTTCTTAAAAACAACTGTGTTTTTCCCATTTTCGGCTCCGTTAGAACTACCAAAAGGTAATTTTATGTAGTCCTGTGAAGTTTTGTTGAAATCGGCTAAAAAATGTAGGAAATTCGATCCAACATATAAACGTTACAGACACACACACACACACACACACACACACACACACACACACCTGCGTTTTATAATAAGTAAGATGATTGAAAAGTAACGCCCTGTTTTAATGTTGATGGACTGTCCCGTCTAAGTATAATTTTTACAAGACGGGAGAGCCCATCATACATAAAATAGGGAGTTACTTTTCAATCTCTCTCTCTCTCTCTCTCTCTCTCTCTCTGTATATATATATATATATATATATATATATATATATATATAAAAAATTATAGTAAAACTGAAGAGTCCATCATACATAAAATAGGGAGTTAATTTTCAATCACTTTCTCTCTCTCTCTCTCTCTCTCTCTCTCTATATATATATATATATATATATATATATATATATATATATATATATATATATATTGTAAAATTAAAAAACTGAAGAGTCCATCATGCATAAAATAGGAGTTACTTTTCAATCACTTTCTCTCTCTCTCTCTCTCTCTCTCTCTCTCTCTCTCTATCTATCTATCAATATATATATATATATATATATATATATATTATAAAAATTACAGTAAAACTGAAGAGTCCATCATACATAAAATATAGTTACTTTTCAATCACCCTGTATATTTGATAAAAACAAACACAATGAAACTTAATCTTTTTCGAAGCCTATTCTACGCTTATTACAAATAAGACCTTATGCTGGTTGGGCAACAAAAGCAGTAATGAAGGTCACTAAATGAACGTACCTCACGTTACCATAACAACAAAAAATCTTATTAATAAGTACATGGGAAAAGGAGTTACTAAAAACAAAGTTTAATCTTTTGTTTCCTGAAAATATGTGCTTCTCCGACAGGAATCGAACCAGTAACCCTTAATCGGGACCATCATTTGATCTGATGTAATGTTACCTATTCAGCCACAAGAAAGCGTCTGGTTAGCAAAGTTTGAACTTCGGTTTATACGAAATTTCTCGAACATTCAGACCGGTAAAGTGTAATTAATACTTTTTAATTAAAACAAAAACGGACCATTTACTTAAATAAATTATATATATATATATATAAATAACGTATAAACAGAAAATATATTAAATAATTGTCGGACTTAATCAATTGCATAATGTTGTCCATTGTTTACGTTAAGATATGTTTCATGAATAGATATGATCAATCGAGAAAAATCGTCGAAGGTGTGTGTTTGTTTGCTAACCAGACGCTTCTCTGTAGCTAAATGGTATAGCACGTCAGATCAAATGACGATTTGCGTATAGGAATACAGGTTTGATTCCTGTAGGAGAACGTATATTATTTTGTTCGAAATTTCTCGAACATCTAGACCGGTAAAATAATTAATACTGTTTAATTAAAAAGTAGAGCATTTACTTCATCAAATTATATCTATAAAAATGACGTGTGTGTATATATATATATATATATATATATATATATTTTAAGACATTTTTATGTTTATACATTCTTTTTATAGATACAAATATTAAGTAAATTTTCTGTTTATAATAAACAGTATTAACAACATTTACCGGCCTGAATGTCCGAGAAATTTTCATAGCAAATATTCGTCCCCCGACAGGAATCGAACCTGTATCCTATACGGAACTGTCATTTTTCTATGAAAATTTATCGGACATTCAGGCCGGTAAATGTTGTTAATACTGTTTATAAAATGTCTTAAAATAATTGTCGGACTTTGTCCATTTCATTTATATATATATATATATATATATATATATATATATATATATATATATATATATATATATATATATATATATATATATATATTTTTAGTTATTAAAACTTACAATATTTGGGTCAATTCACTGGATTATTTTAACCGACGCTTTTATCTACTGGGCCATATGAGTTCAATACCTGGCAACAGCAGAGGTAAACAAAAATCCTGGAGAGTTGAGTTACTAAAGGAAAATAACTAAGATATCCAGAAAAGGCGTGGAGCTAGAACAATCTACACCTGTAAACTAAATAAAGGTTTCGAATCGAAATTCCAACATATATCACCTGAAGAAGGCCGAAGCGTACAACAGCCGAAACGTCGTGAATATGACAATAAAGATATGTGCAATAGTCCGAACAATATAAATATTGTGGTTTTTGTTTTACATAGTATCTGTAAATGATTAACCTTTCCTTCTCCTAGACTGGTTGCCAGCTACGATTTTGGTCAATCTATTTCACACATCATTGGAGGAAAGAGAAGAGATGCGTAGAGATGGCTCGGAATAGATTCGCGCCTTTTCTCTGCGCAGACGCTTACTTCAGCTAGTATATATATGGGAACATGGACACGATAAGTAATCGTAAAATGGAGTATGTTATGAAAGTGAATTTAGATAACAGGGTCTTTGAGTGAGACTAGCAGAAACAATGGAGTTTTGTGGTGTCTGCGCCCTCAAAACAATAAGAATGGATAAGAAAGCGAACCTGAGACCCTTCAACCCGGTAGGTCAGTCATGGCACCGACGACGAAGGGAAAACAAAAGCCAACCTAGAAAACAGTAATCATAATAATTCCTCGTTTCGCTGCTCCATCCGCTCGGCTAAGGGCGAGTATTTTGAAACAGACGATGTCACCCTTGGCAACGGGACAGTGAAGGAGATGATGGCTCCAATTGTTTTCGAAAACGAGTCAAAGGTTATCATTTTCTCTCTCTCTCTCTCTCTCTCCCCCTCTATCTCTCTCTTTTTCTGCCTCCCCTCTTTTCACACCTACGCTCTTTCTTTCCCTTTTTTTTTCTCACTGTTTATTCCTTTTCTCCATTTCTCTTTCATTTTTCTCCTACTCACCAGACGAACAAGCGAATTCACTGCATTAATCCAAAGACCAAACTTTGATAAAATGTCTTTTGCGCTCTTTATAGCATTTAATGACTAATTATCTTTCTCTCCTCCCACCATGTCATCGTATCTACCTGTATGTATGTATGTATGTATGTATGTATCTATCTATCTATCTATCTATCTATCTATCTCAATCTGTTCAAATCTGTCTATCTCTATCTCAATCTGTTTTTATCTATCTATCTATCTATCTATCTATCTCAGTCTGTTCATATCCATCTATACATTTCAATCTGTTTACATCTATCTATCCATCTCTCTATCTAACTATCATTCTATCTGGTTTATTCATATATATCTATCTCAGTTTGTTCATAACTATCTATCTGGTGTATTCATATCTATCTATCTATCTCATTCCGTTCATACCTATCTATGTGGTGTATTCATATCTATCTATATCTATCTCTCTCTCTCCCTCTCTCTCTCTCTATATATATATATATTACTTCAACCAACGCTTTTATCTACTATATATATATATGTGTGTGTGTGTGTGTCTATCTATCCGTATTACCCGCTCGGCCCGGTGGCTAGGATCAAAGTGTAGTATCTGCGCTTTGTGAGCTGCCGGGTCGGGTGTCTGTCGAACTCTCTGCTTGCAGAGAGGAACCCAGACGAAGCTCTGCCGAAGGGTAGGGTTTCGTTGGGGGAGGTTGACGGAACTGGCCCGCCTCGGCGGGTTTGGATGGTTATTTATTTTTGGCTGGGCCTACGGGCTCAGAGATACCCACATTAAAAAGGCCTTGTGCCACATTCGATCCCCGTGGGTGGATTGATAAATACCATCTATCCGTGTTTGCTATTCTAACTATCTATCTATCTATCTATCTATCTATCTATCTATCTATCTCAGCCTGTTCATATCTATCTATCTATCTATCTATATCATGTTGTTCACAAAGAGACGTGTGGCGATGTCATGTTAAGTTTCATCACTGAACAAGACATAGCCAGAAATCTTTCTATCTCAATTTAAATTTTGAAAATGATGGATCTGCGAAACCGGTAAAATTACTCTGAATAAATATTCTTAAAGACTCTAACTGCAATTTCAAATGCTTTTTCCTATACATTTCCCCCCTTGTGGAATTGTGATATATAAAAACGCCTTGCTTTCTTTGTTTTTCATTTTAAACGTCCTATATTACATCTATCTGAAAAAAAGAGAGAGAGAGTACGCAGATTCGAATCCTATTGGAGAGCACACTATTTTTATAAATGTTTCTCGAATAAGCGGGCCGATAGACATAATATAAATTATTCCAAACAAATATATATATATATATATATATATATATATATATATATATATATATATATATATATATACCGTACCTATGAACAGTGATGGGTATGTTTCAATCCTCATAAATAGTTTCGACACTATTGCAAGTGGCGGGGTGTAATATACTGTATATATATTGGCAGTGGTTTACCTACTTCACGTCGCTGGCGAGTATTGCATTTTGTTGATGTTATAAAGATTAGCATTTAATTTCCAAGCCCCGTTTTGGTTATTCCTCATTCAGTAACCCTTCCTAGGTTACAACAATATATATATATATATATATATATATATATATATATATATATATAAGTTACGAAAATCTTGGTAGTCACAAGGAGGATGAAATCCTGAGAGCTCAATGTAAATTCAGAGCTAATAATTTAAAGAAAACAGACCACTTTAAGGCTCCAATATCTGTTTTTCTTTAATATATATGGATGAACAGTATTTTAATGCATATATTATGTTTTCTAGCGATGGATGTCGCCAATAATCGCATTAATACTTCTGATTGATTCTATGTGGGATTATTTCTTTGTATATATATATATATATATGATCGAAATAAAAGTATAAAACTTAATATTACGAGACATATTTAAAAAAAGAAAACGGGTGAAGCAACCGGTTTCGCTCCCGCTCTTCAGGCTTCAACGGGAGAATTAACACAGAAAAATGTACAATAAAAGGAGTTGTAATAAAAAAAAAATATGCAAAAGGAACTAGAAACAAATGACAGCGAGTCCCAACAAACACTCACGTTGTTTGCACAAAGAAGGCTTGCGGGACCCGATGTAAAGTGCCTCCAGAACCTACGTTCAGTCATCATCAAGCATGGGAATAATTTTGTTTTTGGTAAAATTCAGGTAGCATCCGAGACGAAAAAATATAATGCGAATCGATTTTTTTTTTTTTTGAAATGTGTTATTGATAACGAATACAAACTTTTACCAAATTTTATCAGAGGAAATTGTGAAAGTATGATACTTACTAAGAGCTATAAATGACAGGAAGTCGTGGAGAGCCACGATTGCCTAAAGGGATATGGCAAACAAAGAAGAAACAGCTTGTATAAATGGTTACCAAAACAGGGATTAGGAGCAAAAAAAAAACAAACCCTTCTAATCTACCTAACGATGTTGCGTAAATGGTATGGCAGAAAAGTTTTTCGAAGAGAATGCAAAGGGACAAAGTACAGGAAGATGTGGAGAACCGCGATCTCCCCCGTGCTGAACAGACGCGGCACATAAAGAAAGACTGTTTAGTGTGTTAATCTGAAGTGACACGAAAGAAAAAAAATAAAAAGAGTGATTAATTCTGATCTAAATGTCTATATTACGACTTCACCGTAACTTTTCATTTTTTTTACCTAATTTTCAGAAGGTTGATAAACCGTAAAAAATCAAATCAGAAGAAAACGGCCAATAACTTCCTTAGCGACTTTCTATACAAAAATGAATTTACAAAAAAAAAAAAAATTAAAAAAAAAAAATAGACCCTCCCCAATCAACGTATATAATAGATAAAATGTCTAATGACACTAAGAGCTAAAAATGGCAAGAAATCCGATTGACTCACGGCGAGATCGAAACACGATTGATCTCGTATCAGTCGGAGATTCGGGAAAGTCAAGTGTTATTATTTTTCTGCCTACAATGTCTGTATCGATAAACAAAAAAGTCTAAAGATACTGAGAACTATAAAGGATGGGAAATCGCGGAGAGCATTTAAAGACGCATTTCACATAGATAAAGGAGAGAGAGAGATTAGGAGAGTGAGAAAAAAAAACAGATTAAGAAAGATAGCAAAAAGCCCCACCCTAATAAGATCTACACTAGGACAGGAAGTTGTGGAGAGCCGTGATCACCCCCGTGTTGAAGGGGCGCAGCACACAAATGAAGACTGTTTAGACTGTTTAATCTGTAGTGATACGAAAGAAAAATTAACAAGAGTGATTATTTTTGGTTGGAGTGTCTATTGTACAATTTCAATGCCACTTTTAAGTTTTTCCTAATTTTTAGAAGGTTGATAGTCCGTAAAAAATCAAATCAATCAATCAATCCCAATTTTTCGAAAACTAATGAAAGATCCACAGAATAAATTTCCGCTATTAATGCGTGCGACATTTCAATTAATATTCATAAATTATAGTCGACTTCATGTCACTCTTTCGATGACGTAATTGTTTCAAGTGCTTTGAAATGTCACATTAACCAGCTTACTGGAACTTGAAGGAATATTATGTAATTATTAATTGTAATTAGACAACGTACGTACAGTTTGCAAAGGCCGATGTTTTGAGCGATGACAATAACAACAACAACAAACAGTATCATTATAATGGCGACAAATTTAAAGCGACGACATTAATGTTCAGTTTTAAACCTTCTAAAACTTGCCCTATTGATTTACGCTAAAAAAAAAAAAAAAAAAAAGACTGAACAATGTTTATTTCATGAACTGGATGTGCTAATTAAATGAAAACATCATCATCATCATTAGTCCAATGACCGTGTGTGGCCGTAGAGTCACTGAGCACATGACCAGTTCCCACCGCATGTCTTGGAGCGAGCCAACAACGGGATTGATACATCCATTTTTGCATGTTACGAATCCACCTCTTATCCTCCCAGCTACGGGGTTAAATAGCAAGATCGACAAGTTCACTGATTTTTTAAAAATCAAATTCACCCCATGTAAGGCAGTAAAGCCACTGAGACACAAGGGATAATGGGTGTGGAAGATTTAGAAAACAGAAGCAGTATTGAGAAGCGAGAACAATAGAAGAGTAATCAGGAAGACAGTAGATAACAGTTTACATATCTTTGAAATTAGATCCGGTAGAGAGTTTCACAAGGGAGAAGTGCGAAAAAAGAATCAATTAACATAGAACTTGCGGTTGTATCTGGCGAATTTAACTGTACACAGATGGGGCCTTGTTTATAATCTAGTACAGCGCTTAAATTCATAAAGTCTAGGTACCATAGTGAAGAGCGATATTTATTTCCACTACAGAAAATGTAGCACAAGGCCAAAAATGGCGAATGGGGAAAACATTCTTCATCTGTCTTAACGTTAAATTTAGCTATCCCCAAACACTGACCCAATCGTAAATATTCCGTACACCAAAACAATACATTCTTACTTAACTTTCTTACTACACCCACCATAATACCTCATTGTCTCTATGAAAATCATAACTAGTCCTTTTATGTACAATTCTTTGTGGGATGGGGGTTGGAATAAAACAACAATTTAAAAAGTAGCCCCAATGAGTATTTACAATATCAGTACAAATCTATTTACAAGAAACTGAAAAAATAATGTTTGTAATAACCCAACAGTCCTTAAATGTGGCAGAAACATCAGTTAACCGGACGAAATCAATGCAGGACTATAATAATATAAAACATTCACTCATCCCAAGCACTCGCACAAACACGTACTCATTCAGACACATCATCAAATACGAAAAAACACACCCGAAAGGAGCCCCGCATCTACCAGAGAACTGACATCACTAACCAACTAACGATGTAGGGTATGGGAAGTTAAACTAAACAAAAAAATTGGGACAGGGAAGAGATCATCGGTACAATAACAATGGAAGTATTTATAGAAAAAGCACAGAAAAGCAACTTTTCGACGATAGTAAATTGACTGAAACCGAGAAACCAGGTCAAGACGAATAATATTGCTGATTATTCTTTGGATTTTTGTAAGAATCTCTAAATATACCGCAGAAGTACAGGACCAGATTTGACAGCAATATTCTAAGCATGGACGAATGGTAGACTGATAGATATGTAGGATAGATTCAGGAGAAAAAAAGACAAATGTCTAGCAGCAGACTTAACAGTGGTTCCAATATCGTCTTTCCAGTTCATGTTAGCAAAGAATATTAGTCCGAGAATATGCAACGGGGTTAACATAATCTATGCTGATGGAAGCTGTTGTTCGTGATGATGGTCGTCTTTGAGTATAGAATCCAGAGGTTAGCAGTGAATATTTCGAAGACAGTAGAAAAGCGTAGTTCAGGTTAGCTGTGGATATCCCGGTAAAGTAGCAGAGCGTAGTTCAGTAGTTCTTCCTTCTGTTCTTTCGCCTGACAAGTTGACACTGGACATTCTGTGAGAGTAAACAAAATGGCCGCCTTTATACACGACGGATTAAATATTTTACGTCTTCTGATTGGTTAACCTTCTATTGGTGGACTTTTAAGTGAGTCAAGTCATTTGGGCTAGCTCACTAGTTACATATGCGCAAAAAAACTGCAACAGAAGGCACAAAGGGGTCTCTTAGATGATTAATAGTGAGAAGTTTTGCTTTTGAGACGCTAAAATTAACAAGCCATCCTTTGCCACAGTTAACAAAAGGCTGTAGGTCGTTTTTTTTTTTTTTTTTTATTCTTTAGATCGGCCGCCAATTTGATCTTATCGATCTGAACTGACTTACTACCGAAACAGGAGTAGATGGTTCTGTCATCAGCATAGATATCACGTGGATAGGCTGATACCATCGGGAAGTTCTTGAGGACCAAGGTTAGAGCCCTGGGGGGAACACATGCATCAGTTCAAATATTCGTCCGGAGACACCATAATTTTTCAAACTGTGAAAAAAAGACCTGTATACCAAACTTTATCAAACTCTT